ATCTCTTGCTTTCTTTCTTCGTCGCTTTCCACCCCACCTTAGTGCCAAACTCATGCCAGCCTTGTCCACATGGGTGGCACACACACCAAACCCTGTATTTGAAAGAGAAGAAAGAACTGGTGGTACTTCAAACCTCTGCTCGAGTGTTTGTGGTTTTATGTGCAAGTATCAAATACCCTTCTAAATGCAATCTTAAATTCATAAAACACTAAAAGCCAACAAAATCCCCCAAAAAACACACAACTGTTGTCCTCACTGCAAATAAAATGAGGATGCGCACACTGGATGAGCAATTTCTGAAAATCCCTCGGCTAATTTTCCGATCAATACCTCAAGAACAGATCAGTTTCATAATAACAAACACACTAAGGACATCTACAAAACAGCATTCCTTTAGTTCAATAAATGGTCGTCAAAGTGAATTTAATGCAATTTGACATGCATTTGAAGTTGTGATCCAAAAAGAGGGACCACAGTTAATGCCTAATTAGCGTCCCTAAATAATAAAGCAACTTAGACTAATAATTATTGCGTGTAGCCATTCTACCAGTTGCACTGACAATTAACCTTCCTCAACTGGTGAGTCGCATTTTGAGTAAATCCTGTTATCAGCAAATATAACACATGGTGTACACACACACACACACACACATTTCAAACAGCACTCAAGGAAATCTATGCAGTGTTTACGGTCGGGAAGCAGAACAACAAAACAAACAGCAGATATTCACTTTCAGTAAACACCACCCAGCCACTTATACAGTATCTTTCCAGTGGCTTAGAGTGGGTGGGGAATCAAGTTTAGGTGGCTGCTGTGAATGTCATTGAACTACTTGTGTTTACCAAGGCTTAATATTGCTACGACAAGGTCTCATTAAATATAAAACCGCTATACAGAATGTATCAGGTCAATTCTGCCTGAGGCTGCAGAGTTACAAATGCTGCCAAGAAATCAACAGTTTTAAAAAATGAATAGCCTAAAGAGAGGGGGCAGAATTGAGGTAACATGGCTCAGTGGCAAAGAACATAACGAAACAAAGTGTGGTTGTCCTTACTGACCACTCATCAAATCTCAAACGCAGTCCAAGTCTGTGATATTAAATCAGTGGAGCCAGAAACACGATTAGCCCAAGACAAAATAAAGGTGAAAAGATTCAGGAGTAAGCATTCTCCCAAAATGTCTCTCCCTCATCCCAATTTGGCAGCACTTGGCCTGTTGCCCACTCACATTGTGTGGACGGTCCTGCCACTGTTGCCATGGGGATGTGTGGACCTGCGCAGGGCCCTGAAGGCAGAAAGGCCCTGGTGGTTAAGGTGGGGGTTATCATCAGCAGCAGAGTCTGTTGGGCCCCCATCCAGAGGCCTGGGTGCAGCTGAAGAGGTGCCCCCTCCATCTCCACTGGGCCTCTCCCCCTGTGGGTGCTGCTGCTGTTTTCGGAGGCTCAGAGATGGGACCCGGTGGTGTAGGGCTCAGGCTCGTCCACCGGGGGGTCGGCTGCCTGACTCTCATAAGCCCGGGCCAGACGGGGTGGGCTGGAATGGGGAGGGGGCCAGGCGAGGCAAGCTGGACCACAGCCCAGTGCGGTGACTGCCTGTCTGCCCAGGCGCTGGGCCACGCTGCCACTCTTCCCTGGGCTCGTGCCCCTGCACTTGGATTTCAAAGGGATGTAACGGGAGGGAGGGGGTGACTGGCTTCCCTTCTTCATTTGCAGGGTCCCTGCCCCACCAACTTCTCAAAAGTCCCCCTCCTTAAACGGTCCTCTCTCCCAGCCCCCAAAATGCCCCTCGAACAGCTTTTCTGTTTCAGCCATGAACCCCAGCTCCCTCTCACACTGTGCCATTCCCACCACTGCTGCCTCACATTCAGAAGGGGGGAGGTTGTGCTGCTACACTGCACCCATCTGCCCCATGTCTTTCCATGCTGTGGACCATGATGCTGCAGCATGGCTCTCTGGGCGCCGTAAAGACTTTGGCAAATACGCAGGGCCTTCAAGCAACCCCTCCCTTTGTACTCTCCCTGTCCGCCACATGCACACACTGATGCACACCATCTGATATAAAAATCAAAAACTGGTGACCATGCTTATGTTTAAAGACAGATGGTGGGTATTACAGATGCATGATTCACTCTGAAACTATAATAAGCATAAAATACACTTTAGACTTTACTTCAAGCTACCTCACTGAAGGCCAAAGATCTGAGTCAGATGCGGTGCCACCGTGTCTGTATGGCAACCAGCTTGTTCTGCAACTGGCCCATCATCAGTTAGCATCCTACAAAACCAAAAATGGCTCTGACAGGCTGCGTTTCAATTGGCTCAGATCTCCTTTTCTCCCTCTCCTTCTTTCTATCTAGGTTCCTCTCTTCATCGCTCCACGCATGGCATTTCTCTGGCAGGTTCTCCAGTAAAAATTCCTACCCTCTTGGTCTCAGCATTCCCGTAGCGAGCCTCCCTCCCTGCCCAGAGAGGAGTGGCTGGGGGTTCGGGTGGGATGGCGCTCCCCCTACGAGCTTAGCTTGTCCTGAGCTACAGCTAAAACTCCAACTCACAACACATTCCTACAGCTACTGACCAGTAGCCCCAGCAACCAGGAGAGAGGTGAAGAGAGGAGGGGATGGAGGCTTAGTTATGGCTTGTGTTACATTATCTTCCAGGGCTCCTTAGGCTCAACAAAGTGGCTTAAAATGAGCACAAAATACCTAGCAGGAAATGCTTTTACCCATCAATGTTTTTCACTTTGGGAAAATCTCTGAAATTATCTTGAATGATCAATATCTTTGGATTTTCTCCTACAAGGTTCAGTTTTAATGAAAAGCCTTCCCAGTGGTTCCCTGTTGCTCAACAAGGTACAAATGGAAATAATGGGGTGCCCATTACAGTCTACTCCTGCACAGCTCAAGCAGCAGTAACACAGGAGCCGGACGGTCCCCTCCTCCGCTCCCCTTCCACTTTCTACCCCCAAGCTGAGCCAGGCGCTGTGTTTACTCTCCTAATTACAGGGGAGGGGCCGGCTGACAGGCGAGCCATCACAGATTCCCCACAGGCCTAGGGCTGGGAACGCCACAAACACCCGCCACTGTCTCCCAAATGTGACGGCAGTGATGTCCAACTGTCACGGGGGAGCCTTCACTGGCAAAACCCATGGGCCCAAAGAGAGATATTAGAGACATGAGAGGGATTGGCAAGGTTGGCACTAACAGGGGGTACGCTTGAGAAGTCGAAGTGGGGAGCTGGTGGCATCGCCAAAGTGTCATTCAAAGCAAAGTGGGGTTTGGACAGGGCACAAACACTGGTTTACAGACACACACTTGAACACACCCACACACACATACACACATACACACACCATTGCACTCGCTCTTCTGGAAACCAAGGCGGGAGAGTTACATGTACCAGACGAGAAATCCAAGAAGTGGAGCCACCAAACCATGTGATGGAGCATGTTCATAAAGAAAGTTAATCCTCTGGATAACATTATTCACTCTCTCTCTCTGGACTGTCTAAAACACCAGGCTGCTTTCTGACTTATACTTCTGATATTTAAAAAAAAAAAAGAATCACCCTACAATTATTGTTTTTTGTAAACACACACAACACTCATTTCTAATGCAAAGATTCAAGGGTGATCTCAAGTCCCTCCCCACTCCTGAAAGTATGTTCTTATAGTACAAGTCAAATATATTTTTACAAGAAAGCGTTGCCTTCTCTGAGAGGTTTGTGCATGCAGAATTTGATGCTAAACAGCTGTTTTCAAATGTATTTGTTAACAGAACAAATGTTGCTCTGCACTCAACTTTAATTTCAGATTTCGTGACATCACTACAAGTCAGGAAGTCAATATGGATCCAAGATGCAACTTAGAAAAGTGTGAAGGGAAAGGATTTATTTTTGTCAGTGAGCAGGAGATACCTTATGTCTGGCTGTTTTACTTTTTGGATTAACATTTGCATATTCATAGATTTCTGATTTTTTTTTTTTTAAATGAGGCGGGACTAGTAGATTTAAATCTTGGCAAAAATTGAACTTTTGGATAGATCATTTGAGAAGGGTTCCGTTAAATTTACACCTGCATATATTATTTTATACTTTGCGAGAAATATATAATGATTAAGTCCCGCAGTTGTCTGTTAAAGACAAGGAAGCATCTTAAAGGCAAGAAAACGTTTTATTAATCTATGAGTGTGTCTTTGAATATACACTGAGTTTTTAAACTGTACTTACACTGTGTGTGTAAGACAATGTGTGTACACTACTAACCCTCCTCCCAGGGAGGTATAATCCAGCAGAGGTTGTAATACTCCTGTCCTGTTGGGGGGTCTCAGAGACTCCCTGTGGAAGCACAGTGGCTGACCCGATCACATATTCAGGTCAAATACATAAAAACAGTGTTGAGAGAAAGGTTAAAACTGAGGAGCTGTCTTCATCTGAAAATGTCCCTTAGAATCTCCACCGACAACACACACCTCACCCCCGAGAGGCAAGACAAGAAAACCATTTGATAAATCATGAATAGTCACAGTTGTGCGAGTGCTGGGACCATTTCTAAAAATTTATTATGGGGATTACACACAAAATCACACAATGTAACATTTTCAAATGTGTTATGAATGCCTCCCAGAATCCAATTCAAATCCTAGGTTACCAAATAAGCCTGAACAAATCCCCCTACATTGAGTTCTTCCTCCTTTGAAGACTTGAGAGGTCCGGTCTGCAGGGCAGGTTTTACCACGCCGCGCAGACACCTCAGCACACACAGGAGGAGAGGGCTACTGAGGTGGAGAGATAGAGAGTCAGAGAGCAAGGTGGAGGTTTGAAAATTAGTCTTTATTTGAAAATATATTCTTTATTACTTTCAAGACAGTTTGGCTGACAGAGAAGGAAAAACTTGATTTAAAAAGAGTTACAAAAAGTTGTAAAGATAAATAAATAAAAGAATAATTAATATGAAGCCCAGCTAGTGTTGAGTGTTTGTAGGACAGTCCAGATTGGAAAAGAAACCCAGCTCTTCACACAGTTCAAGTGTAACCTTGAGGCGGCACAGTCTCCTCATGTCTTTTTTTTGTCCTTGTATGTTTTTCCAGCAATCTTGACTTTGCCTCCTCATTGATGATCTGAAGGCGTGTGTGTGTTTAATTGCATCCGTTTGTTTGTTAGGCGAACTCCTGCGAAAACAACACAAACAATTATGGCACTAATTAAAAGGCATGTCATATTAATGGAAAGAGCAAACTTGGCAAACACAAACAGCCGTTGACTTATTGAGGCAGCATATTTAAATTCAGGGTGAAGATGTGTGGGGGAAAGAAACCCAGAATTTCATGATCAGCACACGTTTGCGTTACAGAAGTGCAGCCGAAAACGTAAGACTCATTCAACAGCAGAGGCATAATCATTTTAAGCAGAACTTTAACCAAAACTAAATTAGTAACATTGTGTATAATTGTAGAGATAAAACCTCAGATGCAGAGTGCAGCCTGAGGATTCTGTCTGTGTGCCTCTCTGTCTCTAAACTCTTCCCAAACTGACTCTGAGGGGTTTTCTCCCCCTTTAATCCCCGGGGAGGAGACTGAATGTGTTTTGATGACCCCTGGGGTCAGTTACATGTTACATTACACAAAGGTTTAGCTCCTTTGTGATAAGGGGACAGCGTGGGGAAAGCCCTCTGTTTAGGCACCTTGCTCACATACGCAGTGTAAGAAGCAGCAGCAGCAGCAGCAGCAGCAGCGGTGGTGGTGGCAACGTATCCATCAAACCTGCTAGGCTAATTAAAATACAGCCTGTGATTATCCTACTTCAGCTCATCTCGCTCTCTTTCTCTCTGTCACCCACACACTCACAACCAAACTCACTCTCTCTCACACACACACACACACACACACACACACACACACACGCGCACATACACGCACACACACACACACAGGGCATTTCTATAGACAGTAATTACATTTTTGGTGTAAGAAATAAAAATTATTTTTAACTTTGTTGACCAACAAATTAATAAGATACTAAATTAAGTAAAGGTTTCACGATAGCTTTATGAGAGCTTCTATTTTAAAACAGGTGATTCTGTTTACCAAGATTAACCGTGTTTGCAGATTTTTTAATCTAAGTGTAAATAATACTTTTTGTTTAATGTAAAATAAAAGTTACTTTAAAATAAATTCTAGTTGTATTATTTTAATGTATACTGGTTCATTTGAATCCTGGAGGGTTTTCTGTCTTGACATCAAAGATAATCAGCATTTCTATAGGAATTGGCTTTAGTGGATTTTATTCCCTTTTTTTTGGCTCTTTTTTTTAAAGCTCAGAATGAAATCCACCAACACATTCCTCGTCTTCAGCCATGCGAGTATCAAACAGAGAGGGAAAGAGGCAGAGGAGAGGATAAGAAAAGCTGCCTAAATAGTGAGAGGATGCATGTGATGATAATATGCAGCTCTAAATTCAGAAAAACCCACAATCATTCTGCAAAAAAAAATCCAATATTCAAATTATGGGGCTGCTATGTTTTATTTTCTCTTTTTAATTCAAATATATATATTTATGCGTGCTTTTGATTAGGCTAATTCTTGGCATGTCTGGATAAGGTTCAGAGAAGGAGAAGAGGGCTGCCTGCTCATAATAATCCAATCTTGAAATAAGATTTTTTTTTTCTTTTAAATGCTATCAAACAAGGGTCAAACATTAGGCCTGTCCAATGTATTAATAACGCGTATAGGCTCCGCATTAGCTGGTAGGAATCACAGGTTGGAGCAGGCCTGCGGAGCCTCTCCCTCAGGTTGAGAGGAGCGGAGGCGGAGATAAAAGCGGCGGCGTCAATTAGCCGGGAGTCAGAGGAGCCAGAGGCGTTTAACTGCTGCTGTCTTTAAACGTCCTTTTAAGATACACAGTCCCCGCGGAGGGCCGGGCTCTACACTTTCATAAATTATTTAGCTATTTAAACGCTCAGACCCAGCAGATATTTACTTCACACGTCACGATTTTACACGCTGCTGTGTGAAAGTCTCATGTTAGGATACATTACAATACAGCTGCGAATACTAAATGAGGACATATTCACTGTTTTTTGTGGGTTTTTTTGTGTTTTTACTACTGCGTTCCATTCTGATACTTAAAAAATTGCCTTATACAAAATGTAAAAATTTAAAAGGGAGTCTTGGAGTTTCAACTAAATATGATTATTTTTGACAGGTGTTCAGTGGAGTCTGTTGCGGTTAAAATAGCCTAATGGTATAATTGTGATTTATGTGATGTTACAATTATAAACCAAAATAACTTGTAAACTATTGCAACCATAAATCCATCTGTAAAAAGGTTTAAAGTGGCTTTCTCTAATAAATGACACTAATTTATTTCCTAAAAATCTAAATAACCACATCAGATTTTCCATTTTTATCAGATTACATCACACATGCCCATTATCCTGAAGTTAAAAAAAATGAATAAACATAAATAAATTTAAAAAAACATGAAAAGAAACAAACTAACTACCTGGATGTGTTGCAGTCCAGCTCCACCAAACAGGAGGATCCACAGCAAAAGTTTTCCTCTGCTTTGATCAGATCTCATGTTTGGTTGTTAAAAGAAATCCAGAGTTATGATCTATTCATCCGCTTCATGTGATCGACACCTGTAAAAAAAAAGAGATGTCACTGACTTTGTGCAAAGTTAAAATCAGGCTGTGTGATCAGGCTGCATCTCCAAGTGGAATCCAGTCCTCCCAGCAGCTGTCAGAGCACCTTTGACTCTGCCATGGCCTTCAGCACGAGCCACACAGAGGGGCAACATGACGATTCATACAAACCCTCCGCGTGCCTGTGTTTATAAATCTAAATCAATATTCAAATCTGTTTCAAGTGAGCGGGTGTGTCCGTGCAGGCGCGCAGTATGTGTGTGTGTGTGTCACTATGTGTGTGTGTGTGTGTGTGTGTGTTTGTGTGTGTGTAGGTGTTCCACAAAGCCTCTTAAGATGATACATTTACCAAGCCGTGACAAAAACCCTCGACACATTATTTTGAGATGGGCACGCGGGTTCAAAATTCAAGTGACACAGAGGAGGCTCATTTGTCCCACGCAGCCTGAAGGTCTCACATTAAAAAAAAAATAATAATATGACGTTTTTAATTATTATTTTAATATGATTATTTTAATAATTATTATTATTATGTTATACAACTTACAATGTTACAACACATTAGCCTATTAAAACCTCATTTTCTTTAGTATCGATTGAATAAAACAAATTACCTACCATTATATTTGGCTTTTATCTTCTTCCTCTTGCAGAAAATCCTTCATGTAAAAGAATTGAAAGGCTAGCTACATCCGGCCTATGTTGTGCCTTTCTCCTGTCATCTCTCCTCTTCTCTGAGAGCAAACTGCTGCTCTGGGTGCCTCCATATCCTCGGTGTCTGTCGTTGGGAATTTTCCTTTAAAATATTGTGGGGGTTTTATTCAGTTCAGGCCCATGTGAGGCTGCATGATGGGGGAGCAGAATGACTGGCTCTGCGGACGGGAGGACAGTTTTAAGAAAATAAGTCGTTCTAAATCCCCTTTTTTAAGCGTCGCGCAGGAATGTGAGAGGATGGTGCTGCCTTCATGGAGAGACCGAGACTTAGTTCAGGAGACTTTTTCCTCTTGTCTCTTTTGTCACACATTATTTTTAAATTTACAGTCACTGTTTTAATCAACAGACTTGCATTTTTTTTTTATTAATATGCTAATTTACTTTTTCTTTTTTTTTTTACTAAATTTGTATTTCAATAATCCTTAATTGTCTGGAACTTTTTTTTAATTGTTGCAAATCGATTTAAAATCGATTTTTTAAAAATACATTCCGAGTACGTTCTATGTGCTCTCAGTGAGCATAAGTAATGCGATGTAAAAACAAGTAGAATGAACACAGTAAACTGAATTCATTTAAACCTTTTTGTGTGCGCAGACATTTTGCAGACGGATTTTGCGCACAAATTTGCCCTTTTTACTTGAAATTTTGCATCCACTGGATGAAATAAAATAAAAAATATATGGCCATCTGTCTTTTCCTGGTTTAAACTGCACTTGTCGTCATCCACTGGTTATTTATTATATGTTCCCTCTGTGCCCTGGGATGGGGATGTTGTCAGTCGCCCTCGCTCTGCCATTGGCTGAAAACTGTGCGTCAAAAAAGTAGCTGGAGACATTTGTTTCCCAGAGAAAAAAAAACCCTCATCCTCCCCACCGGTGTGAGAGACGGAGACAGACCTCAGCTCAGTCCTGCGACTCTCATTGGCTGGCACTTTGTACAAAATCCAGAAAAGCACTTCACTCACAACACACACCAACAAATCCTAAAGGCGTTCATGCAGCCTCCTCCTCCATCACTGCGCCGCTGTAGCACCGCTTCTCCACCCGATGTAACCGCTCAGCGTTTAACTTTTCTCCGCACTGTTGCTCTGAATCTGAAGACGGCTGCTCCTTTTTTCTGCTCCTCTCCTGCTTTTGGCTGCTTTTGTGCTTTTTCATGCGCCAGGACGTCGTTTTTCTGTGCTGACTTGAATATTTCTCCTGGAGGAAACCGTACAAACAAAGAACTTTACAGCCGTCGATAAGGGTAAGCTTTACCTTTATTATCATCATTATTAAAAGACTAATATCATTAATATTTCACTATCCTGATAATAAGCCTATATCGAAATACAGACCGCAAAGTTAAACAAGATCACTTAGGAGCAAACGAGAAATCCCACCTGTTATCAGACCATTTCGAAAAGGTTTACAAAATCACATTTTGAATGGAAATTCCTTAAAGGCTTTATCCAACTGCAGATGAAGGCGCTACACTCAGTGTTTTACTTCATAGTAGCAGACAGAGACATTAAGTGTGACTGCTCATTAAACCAATTCCCTTCAAATTTACAGAAATCTTAACGACATATTGTAAGATGCAAACGGATGAATTACATAAAGGATCTCTGCTAAAAGAAGCAAACACAAACTCAACCAATTAAAACTCTTTTTGAAATGCAAGTCTCCGTTTAAATAATATAACACACATTCTCTCACTGATTGAAGCCAGTGCTGCAGTGAAGACACTGGGTCCATATCCATGAATTAAGATTCTACTTAAAACGAAATTATGTTATCATGCAAACTGAACCCTACCCAAAAAATAACAGATAACATAATTCAGTATTAATGGGACATTTTTGAGAACTGGATATGAGAGGATGCATTCAAAAGAAGAAGTATTTAGGCCTGCTTTATTTGGGAAATGTTTCGGGGCCTTTTTTTTTTTTTACTCTCTGCTGCCTCCACTTCCCTCCACACAGGAATAATGTAGAGACAATAAACCAACACGTCACTTTTAATATGTCATCTGATGGCTGATTGTATTTTTGCGACTGAATTTGGAGTTCGCCCTATTTAATGAACCTTTCTTAGATTTACATTTCCTCTTTTTGTTTTAAAAATCATACCAGCTAATGAATGCCAATTAAATTTACGTACGATTTAAAACATACGAAATTCCCCTCCAACAGTAATTATTAAAGAGAGAACCGCTGCTAGTTTACAGCATCATGTCAGGAGCCTGGATCACTTAGAACCGCTTGATACCAAACTGCTGCTCCTGTCGTACCTGCCACTTGGATTATCTCGTCAATTCATCAACAGAAAAAAAAAAGAAAAAAACATTTATCATAATTAATTTTTGGACAGTGGAGTTATTATTGAACGGGTGTGTGTGCAACTGGTTGACGGGTGTGTTTTAAGTGTGACAGATTGGGATGAGGGGGTTAAAACCGTTGGATATTGAAAAAAGCAACTAATCAAGACGCGCAGTGGGGATGACGGCAGAGGGTCACTGAGGTGATGTGACAGCAATCACACATTTACAAATCAATGTCAACGACTATTTATTACTGTAAGAAACAACGGAAATGACTACGTGTTCAATATGGAAGCATCTCTACTTTTTTTTTTACTGCAGTAAGTAGTTTCTGCTGCTGCAATAAAAAACAACTCCGTGTTTGAAAAAAGATGGTTAAAGAGCGAGTGTTTCTTCTCTAATTTGCCACAAATGCTGATGCCATTCTTGTTTAACAAAGGAACTTGACGCTTTTTGGATTTAGATTTTTTTGACGTGGGACTTTTTAAAAGAAAAATTCAATAAGATATGAAAAGTATCTTTCTCGCCTACTTGTTCTACAGTACCAATTTTCCCGACGTCAATAGGTAAATTCCTTTTTACACTACATGGTTTTCACTTTACATTAAACGTATCAAAACTATCTGGAATGGAAATTAATAACAAGGCTAAAAGCATTTTGTTTACAGTGGAAATAGGTGTAACTTTGAGGTTGTTGTGGAGTTAGAACTTCAATGTTCTCATATTTAATTTTAATAAACGACAGATACAGGAATCAGTGTTTTTAATTAAACTTTCAATCGACATGTTGCAGTTGCAGTCCGGGTTGTTGCTTTTTGTTTTGGGGTTGGAGGGAGGGGGTAAGAGGACAGCTGGAGATGTGTTGGCTCTCCTTTTTTTTTTTTTTTTAGGAGCGCTTAGCGTTTTTTTAAGAGGTCTTATTTCACGACGGATGTTAACAGATCCAATTTCTCTTCACAAGGTGCTTCTTCATCGATGTCTTCCGCTCTTGTCGTTATGGAACAGGTTCCTGGTGTAACACGGACCACACGGCCTGAAGAGGAAACCAAGTACGCATCGGGAGCTCCATCAATTTTCAAGATTTTCTCCAACTTCAGCCCTCAGACAAACATTAGCATGATGTCGTATTTAAAGCAACCACCTTACACAGTCAATGGGCTCAGCTTAACTACTTCCGGAATGGATCTTTTGCATCCATCAGTGGGCTATCCAGGTGAGTTTGAAGATTTTAAGAAAAACTATATGAGATAAATGAACATTTCAGCTACAAACCTTAAGGACAGGGGATGCTACAGAGAGTATTTGAATTCCTCAAAATGTAATAATTGCTTCTACATTTTGGAAAATACGATAAAATAAATATTGACTGTTCACAACTTAATTGGTCAATAAGCCAGAATCAATAAATTGGGTTGATTAATTTTGAAATATCATTGCTCACACATTTGAGAAATCAGAAGTCACATCTTATGTCATTTCATTTTTAAGATTTGCTATTCGAATGAATTACAGAAAACTGCTTTGATTTTTTTTTTTGCAAACTGAATCAATTTATGGCACATTAGTGTAAGTACGTCAAGTGCTACACTTTGCCCCAGGCGTTTGAGTCTCACAGGACTCGTGCGTAATTACGAAAACAGTAAACACACTCTGCGATTCTGTTACAGATCTGCCTTTGATGACTTTTGATCTTTTTCGTTGCTTTTTAAAATGGATGCATGTGACATTTTAATTTATTTCCAATCTCCTTTAATTTGCAGCAACGCCACGGAAGCAGAGGCGAGAGAGGACTACTTTTACGCGCGCACAGCTTGACGTTTTGGAGGCTTTGTTCGCAAAAACTCGATATCCGGACATATTCATGCGCGAGGAGGTGGCCCTGAAAATCAATCTACCTGAATCTCGAGTACAGGTGAGTGAACCAAAAGAACTGCCATGTTTGTAAAATGATTGTTGTGAAGAAATATTTTCAGCATGAGAACAAAAAAAACCGTGATTATTTGTGAGTCGCCGAATAACTAAAATATTTGATACCAGATATGCTTAAATTTATAAAAGCCCAAATAAGCGAACTAAACTAATATTAAACAAAAACATATCTTACACCGGGACTGACTGTAAATAAAGCTCAGCATTTGGTCTGCCTTAAGGGAAATAACTTTTGTCAGGTGGCTAAGATATTTCCATTCAACTAAAGATTTCTGTTTGGAAAATGTAATCAATGAAATTAGACCGATCCGTCTTGGAATGAAACCTGGTGTGAGAGAAATCAAGAAACGCCTTGATTTGTTTACCCATAGGTCTGGTTCTTTTTGGAAGTGTTATCTCACCATCTCTAACTATTCGTCCTCTGAGAAACTGAGAATTGTGGTTAGATTTTCACTATAAATAAAGGATTTCGTCAGTAACATGAACCACTGTGTGCCTCTTCCAGGTCTGGTTTAAGAACCGGCGGGCAAAGTGTCGCCAGCAGCAGCAGCAGCAGCAGAACGGGGGCCAGAACAAGGTCCGACCTGCCAAAAAGAAAAGTTCTCCGACCAGAGAAGTGAGCTCGGAGAGCGGCGCCAGCGGCCAGTTCACGCCCCCCACCAGCACCACCACCGTCCCTGCCATCTCCACTAGCACCGCCCCGGTGTCCATATGGAGCCCGGCGTCCATCTCTCCTCTTGCAGACCCCCTGTCTACCTCCTCCTCGTGCATGCAGAGGTCCTACCCCATGACTTACACGCAGGCCTCGAGCTACAGTCAGGGCTACGCCGGCTCGACGTCTTACTTCGGCGGCATGGACTGCGGCTCTTACCTCACTCCCATGCACCACCAGCTGTCGGGGCCTGGATCGACCCTCAGTCCGATGAGCACGAACGCGGTCACGAGCCACCTGAACCAGTCCCCGGCGTCCCTCTCCGGCCAGGGCTACGGGACGTCCGGCATAGGCTTCAACTCCACGGCAGACTGCTTGGATTATAAGGACCAGGCGGCGTCCTGGAAGCTGAACTTCAATGCCGATTGCTTGGATTATAAGGATCAAACATCCTCGTGGAAATTCCAGGTCCTGTGAACAAAGCAATCAGGTGTTATTAAAAAAAACAAAGTGCACAAAACAGTGACGATCACCCCACAATAAAACACACAGGACTGGGTTACACGAGGCAGGGCTCTCTGAGGCCTCGAGATGGTCTTTGGTCCTCCTAAGAGGAGAGGTTTAATTTATTTTAGCACTGGCAAAGAGATTTTCCCCCTGTCACAAGTTGTAGCCCCTCATCCATGTCTGTCTGTGTGCCTCTGTGCGTAAAACACCTGTTGAAGACAAAGTTACACCACAGCCACGGAACTAATGTTTATCCAAGAACAAACTCAGTTCATTCTCCTTCTCGGGATGAACAAACTTTTCACACAACTTTGCCCAAACTTCAGGCAGAGACATAAGGATGCTGTGTGGACATGGATGCACTACTTTATTTAAGAAAAAAAATGTTTATAAGGAATCAATATGTAGTTTCTAAGAGACAATCAGTGTGTGTCTTATATAAATGGTACATATGTGTTTTTTTTTTTTTTTATCTGTGCTAGCCTTCGAAACTGTGATCTGTTGTAACGTATGCAATTTGTGAGCCCCCCTCGCATCAGACTCTCTGCTGTGATTTTAATAGATTTCTAACTTCTTTTTTTTTTCTGAACAACGAAGAGATGCTGACGGTTCAGTTCCCTGCATCACAAAGAGAGATGAGACTTTCCGAACACATGGTAGTAATAAGTAAGGGTTAGAACCCCACTGGAAGTGACTTTCGGGCCGCTGAGAGCTCCACACCTTTGCTCCCCCTCCATTGATCTCAGCACACGGTGATTGTGGATCCTTCACTGGCTCCAAAGATGGTGTGACCTCACCGCTGAAATGACATGAATAAAGGTCCTGTGAGCTTAACTTTGTCATCATGAGACGATCTGTGTGTGTGTGTGTGTGTGTGTGTGTGTGTGTGTGTGGTGTGAAGAGGGGGATAATGAAGTTAAACCTTTGACAGGCAATGTGTAGAAAATAATATGGGATTTTTTTTAGCTTTCATTAAAAAAAAATGTCCATGCACAGAATCCTATTAAAAATAAATTATTAGAGACAAAAATCAAACAAAGCACAATTGACCTAAATAATGGTGATTACAATTTTTGATAATGACTTTCATCTTTATGTTACAGTTTCCTGATTCAAAAAAACAGTCATTTTTACCGAAGAATCGAAAATTAAAAATGTAGGTTTATGTTAATTTGGTATTTTTACAACTGTGACGTCAGCAGTATTGTAAGTGTATTAATAGTAATCCTCATATTGACGCACAAACATCAACTTGTGACAAAAGCCTACATTAAAACAGGAATATTAAGCAAATCACTCGTATGTTTTGCAGTGTGACTAATAACTGATTTAAGAGCCATCCAGTGTTCATAATAAAGCAGAAAATATCCCAACAAATCTGTTCATGGACTGTGAACGGTATGATACAGAATCCGCAGTAAATCAATGAATATGGGGTCATAGTTTATCCTGGTTCCTCTCAGGTGGTGGAATTGAAATTGAAATGATTTTTTTTCTAAGTTTCCGGTTGCTCAGTTCACATTTTCTCAACAAAGAGAGTGTTCGCTTTGTGAGAGCACTTTTAAATCCAGGCCTCCAAGAGATGTTAATCCCAATATTTGACCGCCGGGGTTTTCTATGGGGCAGCAGTGGTCTCTTTCAAAGCCCACACCGCGTGGGTTTATCCCCAAATGTGCGCAATAATACAAAGCCTAACATATCATCTAAGAAAAAAACAAGAACACGTTGATGTTTCTTTTTTTTTTTATATAGGCCTATACCAATTGACAAGGTGCGTTAAATTGTGTTCATTACATTAAGTTATGTGGGCCGTAAATGCACCGGTGGCTTTTAATATGAGCAATAAGCCTATTGGAGGAAAAATACAACCCAATGTTTACTGCTGATCATCGTTTTGCTGATTATATGTTTTCAAATAAGTGATCATTTCTGTAAATAAAAAATGAGGTTCGTGGATTATAAATAAACTTGCAGAAAGCCGGTTCTAAAACCTATAAATCCTTGCGCTGTATTTTTGAACCTTACCCCAATAAAACGCACGATAAAAAAAAAAAAGAAGACAAATTTACATAGGCCAATTTAAAATACTTAGATTATCTGAAAGCAGGATTTTTATTGGCTACGTCTGTATGCATATTAATGGGTTTAGTGAAGGCAAAACGCTCCTGAAAGTTGTTTCCTCGTTACACTACTGAATGGGCCAGGCTCCTTCAAATACATCCGAAGCAATCAGAAGGCTTCATCTGCATTAAAGGGTTTGTCCGCGATTACTTTTCGTTAAAGTCCAACGTGAGAGCGTCAGACTGACGACAGGAGACGAAGCAGTGAGTGAGAGCGGCAGTGGGATGTGTAATGAGTCGACATGGCTCTGCAGAGGGCTAATTGTTAGAAGTCCAACATTCAATTAGCATCCTTGACATTGCCAATAATCTCTCTTTCATTGGAGCCTCCGCTAAAGGAGAGCTCTAATTAAAAGCGTTGCTTGAAATAATCGAAGCGTTAAAGAAAAGAGCGACTTTGATTCCACTCCTGCGTGGACACAAAAATAGGTGTGTGCGTTTCAGTGCGAGTGTGTGTGTGTGTTTAAGAGGGTTGCATTGTACTTTTGAAAGACTTAAGAACACAATAGCCCGTATCCATAACTTATCCAAGGGTGAAGCAGAAGTAGCTGTTTATATCCGGGTCCTTTCATTCATCACACAGTCTGATTTTAGCGTTATAATATTCAAGAATCAATTATAATATCTGCGCAGTGCAACGCCAAGTTCAGCACCATGCATATACATCATTATGGCGACAAACAATGCAACAATTGAAAGTTGGAAACAATAGCTGAGGCTGACAGAAGGCTGAATATTCATGAGCTGCGTCTCCTCTCAGTGTCAACAGCTCCTCCAGCCAGACTGCAGCAGAAGAAGACGGAGAAAAAGAGAGGGAAAAGGCTGTTTCAGACTGCAGGGTCACTTTCAAAATGTCAACTGTAGAAACTATTTTCAATGACTGGCAGAAAGGCGCATCCAACTGAGGGAGAACGAGGGTGAATCTAAAAGTTTGCAGAGGAGAAGAAATCTGGACTTTTATCATCTTTGTGTGAATAAATAAATTGTCAAAAAAAATAAAAATGTCATTAATTATTTCATGAAGGCACACAAAGACTTCATTCGCAATGTTAAATGGAAGCATCTCCAAACGAACTTTGAAATCAAAGCAAATTTAAGCTTCAATGCAGAATTTTTAAACAATACACACAGGCTTACTTGGCCCTAATCAATGCTAACTGGTAAATCCAATATCAGCTGACGCACAATGCGCCATCCCGCTTGTTATTGTAACCTCTGAGCCTCGTGCCTCCAAAAGTGCACAAGTCATAAGGAGGATTAGACATCTCCACGATAGGTTACTTCAGACGTCCATACAATGAGTTTTAATCAAGAGCGAGGCAGAGCTGAGGAGCATATGGGACCAACAGACGCGGCATTAATCCTTTTTGGTTTGTTTCTAACTGTGCCCCCTTGTCCCCCTTGTCTCTGTGATCGGGTCCTAGCCTGGTCCATCAAAAACATCTTCCAAAAAAAAAAAAAAAAAACCCTCACAGGCCTGATCAGAGCTGCCGGTTATAAGGCCCTATGGCCTGAAGGGGTTAATTCAACGAGAAAGTAGTGTGATCATCAGTTGTGAAAACATGAGAGCAACATGAGTCAACTAGCTAATTAATAAAAATATATAATAAGAAACACTAGAGCCTTCCTTAGTTACTGTGGTTATTAAAGCCTTCAACATTTACCCTGCAAAAGTCTGCAGGTGTTTTCCCTTCAAGCCACTCACACCTCATCCTACTTTTGATATTCCATTTTCAATAAATAAATTGCTCAATTATGGGTGATGGAACTACAGCAAAGAAAGTCATTATCATGAAGAAAAAGAGCAAAACTAATAGAGATGAATTATAAAAACTTCCTAGGAATGTGGGACAGTTTGGGAATATGGTTAAAAAAAAAAAAAAAGGATTTATAGCACTGATTAAATCAACCACAACATGTTTTAGAGTGTGCATGAGAGGCTGCTTGATTTAAACAGTGTACGCATGTGTTCTCATTACATTGTCATGAAATTCAAAATAAAAGAAATCTTGATGTGGAAAAATGTGCCAACAACTAATAAATAAACAAAAATTAATAATATTTTTTAAGCTAATCCAGCAGTATCCCCTTGAAAGTGCTGATCCGGGCTTAGTCGACATTTTCCTGAAATTATTTAAGTTAGTGACATCATCAATGAATTTGATAATCTTGTCAAAGATTAAATTAAAAGGGTTTTGTATAGCCTACATAATAACAGATTTAGATGTTTTTAAAACATGAAGTCTAAAGAGATTTGAAGTAAGCGCAGTAAAAAGCATGTTATTTTAATTTCTCAGACTGCTCACACAAATCCGTGGATTTACACAGATCCACAACTGATAATGATACCAGCAGCTCCAAACGAAGTCTGTTGAAACGGGAAAAGGGCCACACATTCTTTCTCTCTGTATCACAGAACCTGTAAGATAACCTTCAAACCATGAACTCTATATTTCACCGGGTTTTTTTTTTCTCCAGCTGGTCCTTTGCCCTCGTATGGGCTCTTTTAAAAACCTGTCTTGCCAAATATGCCCAAACATTTGGCTTATAATGTTCATAAGCCCCACCGGACACAGAGGGCTTATCAGTTCATTAGCCACTTGATGGCCTATTTCAAGTTAAAGTGAGAGGGAGGAGGGCGATGGATGAGGATACCACCATCCATTACTGAGGCATATTTTGTTAAGCTATACAGGGGCACTGGAAAAAAAAAAACCTCAAACCCATAAGAAGATTACCAGATCTCAGCATATGTTAAAAAACACATTATTACTCTGCTTATGGCTCTGCTTAATACCTAGTTAGTTAAAGCTCACCTAGTTAGTATGAGAGAGGACATCCATTTAGAAGAATGTTTTCATTTTGACAGTCTGGTCAGGTCATCATATATTTCTTTTCTCCTTGTAATTGTTAAAATATTGAGTTTATATTTGCTGTTCGCAGGGACAGTAATAATGTAATAAAACCTTTAAATTAAGCTTTAATGTTCCTTAAATGTACACGTTTTTCAGACTCCTTGGATTAAATATTCCCTGACCATAAATATAAATCGCCTTATGATACACATGGGAATATTTTTAATAGTGGATTATTCTTTATCCTAATGGTGATAACCCACACACAGTGCAATCGCCCTTAACTGTTGACTAGTATTCATTAACAACATTAAGGTCTTTCAATAAAAACACACATTTGGCCACTTTGAATTAAATGGAGCAACAGTACACTTTAAATCACATCATGTTGCTTTCTATCCTACAGTACATGTGGTGTGTGAAGTCAACAGAAGAGTTATATCCTAAACCTGTGAAAAATATTTATGTCTGAGTAAAAAAAAAAAAAAAAAATCCTGCTACTAAAAAAGAACATTTCAACCAGAAATAGGTTGACCTAGAAAATCCTCAACCAAAGTCTTACTTACTTTTTTAGTTTGTGAAATTTTCCTCCCACGTCATTGGCCTCCCTCAGTGGATGAAGGAGCTCAGTTGTCATCTTGTCAAAAGATGTGGCTGAAATCACAGGAAACAACACTTTGAATTGGACTTCATGTCGAGATATTTTAAGCTGCAGTTTCCAAGGTCAAGAATGAACGCCGGAGCTAAAAATGTTGTTTAGAGTCACAGCAAAGCAAGGATTTTCATGCATCCAATATGGGCAGGACACAATACAGCATGAAACAAACCTCAGCAGTGCTATGAAACAACATTTAGATAGTAAGCTTTCTCTCTTGTGGCTTATTTCTTACTTCTAACTCATATTTGGGGGAAATAGCAGGAACAAGTGACATTTGACACTGCATGTAAGCCATGATCAAACTCCATAGTTAATGGCCTCAAACACACCTTTTGATCACAAACAGCTTACAAATTTAATGACTTCATGGTGAACGGCGCCAATTTTTTTCTCCTTTCTGCCAATGTTCTCACCACAGGCTACACGGTGAATCAAAAAGTAGTGCAACAATGTCGTGTACTTATTTCACATTAATCTCTGGTCGCATGCATTCTGCAACATCAATGAATGAACTCAGAAGAGACACAATTTCTCTACGCTCAAACAGCCATAACAAAGCAATACTTTACAATAATAACGTAGGATTTTCTTTGACTTGTGTGTAGACTCTATGAGTACATTTTGGTTCCCCAGTTATTACACTGTAGTTACTCGTGAAAGACCCTCTTCTCTCCTCCTCACCAGGCCAGGGAGACTCCTCATTATAACAATTAACACAGGTACCTGTGATGAGGCCGCGCTGATCATTTACACCTTCCTAACAAACACTCTATCTTTTAATCTCCTGCAAACACTCTTCTCTTCAGAGACAGGAGGAGGAACCAGAAATTAATTAGCTGCATCCAACAGATTAGAGCCTGGAGACCCCTCCTCTGTGTAAATGGACAGCACTTAGTCAGACTACAGTTCAGAGAGGACAGGCAAATCAGCCCCAGAGCTTCCTTTTTTTGTTTTTTTTTGTTGCTTATTTCAATATTTCATTGAGTGTTATACATCAATGAACTGTTTCAGGGTGCCGTCATGCAGAAGCTAAGCCTTTGGAATTCATGGCCTGCAAGCGTATGCCTTCACCCAACGTGCTCCGAATACAGGAAAAGAGGCGTCTGCATCACACGAGTTCAAAAACATAGTTGAACTCCTGGTAACAGTACATCCACAAGACTGAGAAATGTCTCTTTAAATCGAGGTTGAATATAATACACTGAACATCAAACATTATAAAGGTGGTCCAAAAACCCAATACTGTTATGATTTGAAATACAGTAGATGACAATTCATAAGGAGAAATGAATAAGATAGTGACATGGAGCAAGAACTGATAGAAAGAGGGAGGGCTACAGAAAGCTGTTTCTTAATCCTCCAACATCAAGTTGACCTTATGAACTAATCTTCATATGAACAAGATTGGTGTGCAAGTCGGAT